ACTTACTTTATTTTTATTTTTTCTTCTCTCTCTCTCTCTCTCTCTCTCTCTCTCTCTCTCTCTCTCTCTCTCTCTCTCAATCATTTTTTTAATGATTCTATAGAATCTATAAAATCTAGAGAATTAAAAATTATTTATAGAATTCTTCATTTATGTAAGATTACATAACCAACAAATAAATTTCATTTTCATACTGCAAATATTTTTCTTAACAAAAGTTTAAGAATTGTATGTGTATGTCTAATAAAAATGATAATTTTTAATAAAAATTGCTTAATCATTAAAAAACACTTTAATCTAAAGTTACTTGTAATTAAATTTTCAACAAATTTCCATATCCTTTTTCTATTTTCTAAAATATCATCAATTTAATCTATTCTATGCATTTCTGAATATTTTTTTTTTTATAGCAAATAATTAACTAATGCATATTAACTAATGCATATAAAAAATAATAACTGTTGGAATATAATACTTCAAGAATTAAACTATAGTTATTTTATAAGTTTGGCCTGACTGTAAAAGAGACTGATATAATAGAATATTTATGTTCACTTAATATTTATACTTCAAGGAAGTCTTTTAGTAAAGTAACTCTACGCTTTTCAGCAATATCCATTTGATTTTCTAAGTCTCCACGATTTGTTGTTTCTGCATGTTCTATTTTCCAAGAAAGATCTTCTATTTCTGCTTCCAATTGAGCTTGTTGATATTCAAACTATAAATATTTATTATATATATTTAGTATATATTTATTATATATTTTTTCTTTCATCTCTAAACTTATTAAATATTTTAAAAATTAAAATAAATTTTTACCAATTCTTTACGTGGGCCAGGTTCCATATAATAAGCATAAGGATAAGTATATTGCAAAGTATAACGACAACGTGTTAAAAGTGATGCAGCTGCAAACAAATGTTGCCAATCAATCCATGTTCCACTAGAGTTCATTACTTTTTTATTTATTTGCATTTTTATAGCTTCCAATGTTTGTTCTTCCAATTTTAATGATTTACTATGATTTTCCCACTAAAAGATATTCAAAGTATAAATAAAATTACATATAAAATTAGTCTTAAAAAGATTACTCTCTTACTCTTTCATAATAATGAAGATATTTTTTAAGAGCTTCTCTTGCTTGTGCAAGTACACTTTCATGAGCAATGTTAGGATTCTCTTTATAACGTGAACATACATAATATTCACTTCCATGTGCTTTCCAATCTCCAAGGCACATCCAACAAAAATCATACTTACAATTATAACATTGCATATGATTGCAGCCACCATTTTTTTCTATACAAATATGGCATTTTGGACACTATAAATTAAAGATTGTTTCTTTTATAAAACTATGTATACATATTTTACATATAAAATTTAAATACTGACATCTTTGGTGTGAGCGCTAATATAATTAGCTGTTTCTGAATCATCTGCGCATTTTGTTAACCACTTCTTCATAGTATTACAATCAGTAGGTGCATGGTAATCAATACCACATCGAAAACTGAAATTATTATTATTTTTGAATGTATATGATTAAACAATGTGTGTGATTAAAATTATAAACATTCTAAAAATATGAATACATACCAAAATACAGTTTTACATGATGAACACATCACTCTTTTTGCTCTTTGCTCTTTTGAACGCATAATCATTTGACAATTGGGCCCAGGACAAAACCTTAATTGTGGATGGGATTTTACATAATCACAAAAAGCAAATTGTTGATATCTTTCCCTCATGTTAGGCTTGGTAAGTAGAGATAAAACAAAATCTTCTGGAGCTAAGACATTGCAATCCTGTGCCATGCAGCTTATTCCTAATTTAAATTAATTTAGCTGAGTTCAATAAAAAGATTTCAATAATTTGATCCATTTTCTTCAATAAACTTACCTGTAGAAATACCTTGGGTTATTTGTACTTCAAAATGCATGCACCAGCAGTCTTTACAAAATGAATGTCCACATGTCAATGTAGAAAATTTCTCAGCTGAATAAATTGCAACACAAACTGAACATAATCCATTCCTTTGACTTTTTAATTCTGATAATGAATCCAATGGAGGTAATGGTTTTATTTTTGAATTAATTAATAAACTGGAAGCATTGGTACGATATTTTGTGATGATATCTTGTAATGTCCAATTGTGCGCATGTAATAAAACTTTGGCTAAGGATGGTGTTATATGAAGACTATTACTTAACAATTCTACATCCTCATTCAAAAGTCTTTCTACTTCTTCAATTCTCAAACAATCATATACAGCATATTCAGGATCTCTTCTGCTTTGATCATTATCTATATCATTATCACCTTCACCATCCCATGGTTGCACATTATAATAATCTTCATAACCTGGATCTCCGCAATCTGAGTCGGAATAATCCATTTCAGTGTCATATTCTTCAGTTGACATCTATATTATTAAATATTTTTCTTTAATAATTTAGAAATATTTTAATAGATATTTCATATTTCAATTACATATATTTAATTTGTACATTAATATAATTATATATATATAATATATATATATATATACACACACACACACATACATTATTTTCTTTATAACCTCATAATTTTTATTATTAAAGATAAATAATGAAAATATAATAAAAAATATAATTATATTAATGAATAGAGTAAAAAAATATAAAATATATTAATAAATAGAATAAAAAATAAAAATTTTAGAAGAAAATTTTTAATAAGCATAGTAATATATAGTATTTCCAGTTATACAATGTTTAAATAATCGATTTATTTATATAAGTTAAAATAATATTCAGAAATATTAAAAGAATGGCAGTAGATTCAATGTTTAATTATTTTACATGAAAAAAAAATTTTTGTAACATTTGGTAAACATTTTGATAAAATCTCATATATTATATCATAATAAAATGTTCGTTTATTATTTTGTTTTATTTACATAATGCGAATAACCTACCTTTATGTTTTTATATATCAAGAAAAATACATTGATATATTTATTTTATAAATTATGAAAAAGTTATTAAAGGGCCCTGTTATAGCCGTTTATATCAATAGTTACACTAGCGAATAAGTTACGTGTATGTTCTTTCATGTCAGACGTATAATGTGAACTATGTGTAGTTGTAACAGATGATTTCATTTAATCTGAAAGTAGATAAGAATGTCAAAATCACCTGATGAAAACAGCTGAGTTCAATAAAGTACATATATTTTTAATTTATATCCTTAAAATTATGAAAAATTTATTTTTAAATATGATATACATATATTTCGAAATTTCATTTATATACGGGTATTAATAATTTTTAAAATTATTTATACGTAAATTTTAAAACAATATATTTATTTATAATAACATAAAACTTCTAATAAAATAAAAATAAATAAAATATAATATACATATTTTTTCGAATAATTTTTTAAAAATAGTTTTTTATAAACATGATATGTCAATTATATTTTTTTATGATCATTATATGAATAGATAAATATATACATATATTTTATCTTTATGAATATAATATAAAATATAATTTTATATTTTATAAAATATAAAATAATATAAAATTAACAATTTTAAATATTAAAAGTTATATAAATGTATTATATAAAAGTATTAAAAAGTATTTAATACGAAATAAATTTCTTAAAGATTTATACAAAGCATAAAAGAGAGAAAGTAATATAGATATAAATATATAATTATCTGTAAAAATATTTATTTGAATTTTGTAAATAAATATTTTATATTCTTGTATTATAGGAAAATGTTTATTATATAAATATTTTTGTAAAATTATTTTTTATTAAAGAAAAAAGAAAAGCGAATAAGCTAATTTTTTTATTCTATAGAGTAGCCTATCTATCATTTTCATAACTATATGATGTACAGTTTACGTAGTATATTTATTACTTTATTATGGTGACTACTTTTAATCTTTATTTAAATTCGCTACAAAATCTCGTATTATTAAAATTATGTCAGTATATCATGATGAAGTAGAAATTGAAGATTTTGAATATGACGAAGATGAAGAAATATATTATTATCCATGCCCTTGCGGAGATCAGTTTCAAATATCTAAATCAGAATTAGCTGCTGGAATGGAAGAAGCCACATGTCCTTCTTGCTCTCTGGTTATTAAAGTAATTTATGATAAGGAAGTGTTTATAGTTAAACAGGAAGAATTTGTTAAAAATGAAGAAAAACAGCTTATGGCTCAAAAGATATGAGATAAATCAAAATACTTTCTGAAGTGTTGTTTTTTATAATCATAATTGAGGTGAAGAATTATTAAAGTTCTTAAGAGAAGAAATTATATAATAAAATAGATTTCAAATAATATTCCTTTTACTAATTTTACTAATTGTTAGAAAATAAAATACTTATATTATTATCATGGCTGGACGTGGCAGAGGAAGAGGCAAACCTTCTATGTCAATTAGCACAGAACAATTGGGTTTTACTAAAGGAGAAGCATTACCACCACCAGTCTTACAACCTCCACCAAAATATCCTTCTTTAGAATATAAACCAATGTCATTAATTATTAATACAGAAATGAGTTATCTGTTAGAATTAAAGAGAGAATATGCAGAATATATGAGAGAATCGTCTAACAATGTTTTACCTCTTGTAATTAAAAAAGATATTGAGAGGTATTCAGATCGATACCAAGATTTGATTACGGATAAAAGTAGTTATGAGACTAGATACGATTGGAGCAGAATGCCAGCAGAATTAAAACCTCAGCTAAGAAAACGTAAAGGACAAAAATTTGAGAAGCCATTGAAAAAGCAAAAAAATGTTGATGTTGAGTCAAAGTTGCAAGAATTAGAGAAAAAAGAAAGTTCACAACAAAGTGATACAGAAGAAGAGGAAAAGGAAGAAGAAGAAACAGAAGAAAAAGATGATGAGCACGCAGAAGATGAAGAAGAGGAACTGGATGAGGAAATGGATGAAGGAACTGATTATCTTAACAATTATTTCGATAATGGAGAAGGTTACGACGATGAAGACGATAATTTAGATGATGGACCTATTTATTAAGATATGACTTTTTATAAGAATCGGAAATTATTCTTTGTTTTCAATTATTGGACTAAAATACTTACAAGTTATTAATTGAGCATTGTATGGCAATATGTGTATATATATATTTTACCGAATCATGTGTTTAAATAAATTATTTCAATCAAATCATTTCATATTATAATGAGATAGATATACTCATGTATATTTTTTATTTTTTAGCAATTATATTTTTTAAAGAAATTGATAAGGATGGTATGATGTATTGAAAAAAAGGAATTAATTCTTTTAGAACAATTAAAACAGTCCAAGGTCACAGGAAGCGTCGGCGTGTTCTTTATTACGAGTATTTCAATTTCTAATATATAATATATATATTTATATATATATATATATATATAATATATATATATAGCCATAATAATTTGCAATTATTGTAATAAATGATTCTCCTCTACGATGCAATCGGAGAGTAAAAACGCAATTTTGGACGAGAAGGGAATGCGCAAAAGTACCGTAGTGTTACGTAATGCTTAACATTTATATGCTCGTCGTGATAGTAATTCTTTTTTAATATCTCATATTAAGTAATCATTTTCTTTCCCTTTGGTTTGCTTTCGTTTTTACAAACAGTGAATTTTCCTACAAAGATCAACATCGGTCCCAATACATGCACATTGAGTGTGGGAAAGGGATATGAGAAAAAAAAATGTGATCGTAAAAATTGAACTCCTGAAATTTCCAGCCGCACGTTATCAAGTTTTTGTTACTTATTAATTATATAATTTAATGTAAAATATCGAAATATTGTTGCGTTATTTTCGGATTCAACACTAGAAAAATAATTAAATTATTTGCGATAAAGTGGAAAAAGTTATATTGATATATAGATGTTATCACTTGGCAGTTAATCGAATCATTTAAAAATTCACTAGTATAGCTTAAAATTTCCTTTAATTTTTTCTTGATGAAATGATTTTCTCTTAATGATTTTATCATCTTTATCTCGTTGATTAAATAACAAGATGTTACATTATGATAAATGATTCAAATTCGATATTTTGTAATAAATGATTACATATTGATTTAAGGATATAGAATGACATAAAAAAAAATATATTCGAAGAAAAGTTACATATGTAACTTTTTGCTATTCTCAATAATAATTTCAACTTTGTAATTGTAAATTTTTTTCAATCTGTTTTGTAAAATACGAGAAATCTCGTTATATTTTATTTCTTAATTAAATCAATCATGTTTTCCTTTCAAAAAATTTTTTTCTAAAAAAAAGGAAAAAGTAAGGAAAAAAGATTTACTTTTATTACTAAATTTAATATTTTAAAAAATTGAAGAATCAATCCAATCGATGAAAAAAAAATTAAGAAATAATCATTCACGCTATTGGTATCATAAAGCATATTCATCATTGTCATTATTCTTATAATAATTGACTGTTATACGTAATTCTCTTATTTTGACAAAACAGGCTTTACTTCGATTTATCTTCTCAATTTTTTCATAAATATTATTGTTGTTTTAATCTAATGTTATTTTTCTTTTATTCGCTTGTTTTTTTCTATAATATACTATATAATGTATATATAAATATATTTTTATATATAAATATATATATATATATAGCACAATCTATCTATGTATTAATAGGCATAAAGACTGAGGCGAGAATACAGGCGAAATTCTGAAACAATAATCATTCCATTTTGTATTTTTTTAAATATTTTTGTTTTCTTGTTTTGAAATAAAATGATTTTCGCGTATTTCTTACCATCAGAGTCTTCAATAGCCAATTTTTTTTTAATTGTAAAAAAAGATCTTCTAAAATACTATACTTTTATTCATAGTTTCTGTTTTGAATCTTGATTTGTTGAACGTGGCCAGCACATTCATATTTGTCATTTCTTATAAGACCCATTTGATGATTTTGTAATCATTAGTAATAAAGTCCCAGATCTGTCTACATATGAGAAATGAGAAGAAAGGCTTGGAGCAATGGGAAGGGAAGTGTTGAATTGAATAAATTTTGGTAAAGAAAACAACTATACGAAATAATAAATCGTTTGTTTGATTAGAAGGAAGATTTATCGTAAACTTTTGGTTTTTGAATTTCCAAGCCTTTTTCTTAAACATATCATCTGTACTTGTTAGATATGCGTATAATTATAAAGTAAAACATAATATGTTGAACTTTTGCCTGTCAAGACATTATTTATAGTCTTGTGAAAAATCTTAAAAATGATTACCAAATCGCACTCGATTATCTATCAAATAGAAATGAATAAATATTTTAATTCAAAATGAATAAATATTTATTTTGTTTCGCAGTATTCATTAGGATCTTATTTCGTTTGAAAACAGGGAGAATTATTTTCCTTCACTGTGTCTACATGTGTGTTTCATGATTTATGTTTCAAATCGAGATTGAATATAATGTACATAGTAGCCCTATAGATGATGATGTGTGACGTTCTGGAAATCACAGGACAAATCAGCTTCTAAATTCGGAAAGGCAGTGTAAGCTTCTGCGAGGTGCTTCTCCAACATATTTAAAACGGTTACTAGCCTTGTTGATTAACGTTTCCGTCTCCGTTTTTATAGGCTTACACCAAACTGTTCAAGCTTTCTTTCTCTCTTTTTGCACTCTTTTTTTTTATTTTTTTTGATAAAATTTAGCTAAGAAAATAAAAAAAAGGAATAATATGATTTAATGATACTGTTAAAAATTTTTTAATATAATTTTAACAATGGCAACAAATAAATATATGTTATCATAATCATTCTCATCTCTTTCTTTCCCTAATAATGTAATTTGAACAATCATTATATAACAGAATAATATAGCAAACTATTAGTAATAATATTTTGTACAATGCTATTGTTTCAAATGAATTTTGAATCAAGAATATTAATTGAATGAACTATTGTAATAGTATTGTTTTAGTTTTTTTTGTCTGTTTTAATTTTAATTATAATTATTAAATATTAAATATTACATATTTTTAAATTTTCAAAACGATCTTAATAAAATATGTAAATAATTTAAGCGCTTATTACAATAAACGATAGATAGATTAAAATGGTAATTGCGAAAATATCTTTCAATATCTGATATAAGATTATTAAACAATTTAATGATGTTATGCATAAGAATCACAAAATTGAATATTAAAAACGGATTTAAAAACAGATTTAAAAACGGATCTAGAAATTGTACAGAGACGAATATTTATATAACAATGGAAATATTATTTTATGATTAAAAATAGAAGTGATAGAAAATTTTATGCAAAAATATTCAAATAAATACAAGAAATAGAATTCATTTAATAATCTAATAAATTAAAGTCATGCATTTCTTGTACTTTCTATTTTTCATTTTCCATTTCATTTGATAGTATTCATTTTTGAATCAGACAGATCGGTGTAAGCAGAGATAAACGTTTCTTCTTTCTAAATTCAATCGAGGGAAGGAAAGGGAGAATTGAGGAAAGAAGGAAAATGGCATGAAACTCTTGTAAAAAAAAAAAGAAAAAAGAATTTTGTGATGCAAATATTTTCTAATCGTACCGATATCTTGAACTGTTTGAGACGGTAGCATAATCAATGATAAATTTCAATATTTTTTTTTTCTCCATATCATTAAGAATTAATATTTTTTTTCTTCATATCATCAATTAATCCTAAAAAAAATTATTCCTAAAGAATAAACTGCAGCGTAAAAAAATTCAAATAAATATTGTTCAAATGTATAATTCAAGGAATAAAAGAAATTTTAAACATTTCATATCAATTTTTGACTTAAAATTACAATTTTTTTTTTCTTTTCTTGTTGTAAGAAACTAAATAATTTGATTAAATTAAAAACTAAAATAATTATCATTGATTGGCTATCGTTCGGTCAACAATTTTCAAAAATGTTCCTACAATCTTTCATCGACACCCTGATCTTTTACACTTTCATCTAGTCCCTCGTCAGTCATTTGCATTTTGTAATTTTTTTTTCCACACGTTTTTTTATTTTTTTTTCTTTAGTAGTTTTTTTTTTATTACTAGATTATCGTTTATCATATTAATCATTATCATTATACTGCTTCACTACGGTTGGTTGACTCTTGGACGTGGATCTGGATGGAGTGTGGTGTACCGGTGTACCAAATGCGCGTGAAAGAGAGAAAAAGCTCCGTCGCTTGAGTCATTCGGTATTTTTCTTTTTCTTTGCATTTCTCTTTGCTCTCCTTCCTTGCTCGTCCTCGAAGCAAGAACAAGGGAATCCTATATCTTTTCATAATCATAAAAAGATTGATCTTTTATTTACTTATTTTTTTTTTGTTTCTCCTTATTTCTTATATTTTAAGATAGGAAGACTTCCCTTGTTATTAAGCTTCGGACATATCGAATCTCTTTTCTCTTCTTTTCTTCTTTATCTTCGATTCGTTCTTAAGAGAAACGTACGAATGATTTTATCATGTAAGAAATCAGACGGAATACAACATTTCACGGGAAGTTAATATTCATTCTTCTCTTTCCTTGTTTTTTTTTTTTTTTCAAATTATTCCATAATTTCAATATATTTTGAACTAATACCAAGTTTCTAGTCGTAAGTTTCAAGCGACGCGTAAAAGCGTGATTTCTCGCGCGAAATTCGTAGGAATTGCAAATTTCCCTTCGTTTTATTTCGATTCTCGTCGGTTCCCAACGATCGAATTAATTCGTCTTTCCCGGTTGTTCTCGAGAATTTGTATTATGCATGAAAAAAACACTACGCCTCACTACAGTAATTCATTTCGCTTGATGATAGTTTTCATTTGCCAGTTTTTTTTTTTTTCGACAAATTGCTCGTTGGATGATACTTGATCGTTTCTTTCAGAAATTTTTTTGAAGAAAATTCAAGGAAAGATCAAGATATCGAAGTACTTACAAGAAAGACTAAAGATTTTCTTTTTGCTCAAAGTAAGAAATAAATAAATGAATAAGATATAAGAATATCTGTATAATAATATAAATATGATATAACTGAAAAATATCAGTTATTGTGCAGTTAATAATATAGACGATTTTATATAAATTTCTTAAAAACGATCAAGTATTCTATATAAAAATGGAATAGATATCCATTTCTGAATCGGCAAACGCAAAAAATGTTAGTTTGTATTTAAAAGAAACTAATCCTTTCACAGTACTATCGATAATAATTTAACAGATCTATCGCGGATGATCAACTTTCTTTCTAGAGATCTTTTTTTTTTTTTTTTTTAAATTGATCGATAAGTCGAAATATTGGATGATTGACAGGAAAGATCCTAGGAATATTTTCGGTTCCGTGATTATGTAATCCGCGAGTGCAATACCCATTAATTGTACACATTCATATTCGTGTATACGTACATAATTGTTTTTTGTATATAGATTTATATAAAATGCACGAAGCGGTTGAAGGTTATTGAATCCTTCTCTCCTTATTTATAGCAACAAGCCGTATTTTATTTCCTCGCAATTCGATTCGTCACGATTATTTTCTTTCTTTTTTTTCTCTTCTTCTTCTTTTGTTCTATTCTTATAATGGAAAAAAAAATTCGGACTTAACTATGGCTGATCCTCCTTCGAAACATCGAAGGATCACTTGAAACATCTTAGAAACTTATTGACTCGCATACTCGTCTAAGTGCGTGCCTTTCTATGTATCATCTTATCGCGTGGTATCGCGTGTATTTGTGTATATCTGAATGTCCTACAAATTGGAAATTAGATTTTTAAAATTTTTTGTTTTAACATTTTTTAACATTTCGACTTAAAATCATGTTTTACTATGTCGTATTATACTATGTACGTATTTGCTGATTCTGGCAATTAAAAAACTTATGTGTGCATAACACTGTGTATTGTGTAAATGTGTATTTGTGTACATAATCAAATGCATTCTTCGAATTTTAATAAAATATGTTCCCTGCACGCACCTCTTCGTTTTCCTCGATCATTTTATAGAGAAGATATATATACCAATTCTTTTCTTCGAAGCTTTATCAATTACATTCAAGCACTCGTATAAATTCGAAAAACTCTTCTTTTCGTGCTTAAAATAATATATAAAATGAAAAATAAATTTTTCCTGAAAAAAAAAAAATTTCTGCTACAATATATCATTTCAACTTTTGGTTGAAATGAATACAATATATATTTATATATATGGTTTTGATGATCGAATTAAAGAAAATGCTCGAACAGATTTTTCGAGGCGTTTCCGGAAGAACGAAGAACGCTCAGCACGTGACGAGTAAGACGGAAAGGAACCTACGAGATATCTCGTTTCCGATGAAAAACAACCGGAACAAGAAGACGAATCAGGAAAGGAGCTTCCATAGGAACCTCGTCGAATTGTTTTATCATTTATTCTCCTTTTCTCTTCTACCTTCGTCTTTTTCGTTTCTCTTTGTTTCTCCGCTTTCGAGAACATTGCTACTACTTTTATTATCTTGCATTGAACGCCCTAATTCTCTGAACCGCTGCCCTTTCCCCAGAATTTATCGAAACGATTTCGTGCTTTTTCCAGCACTTCGCTCGCTGCGGAACGTTGTGCAGAGCCTGGAACCACTGTCGGCGCTTCCAGTACATGGTAGCCACCCCCGCTACTTCCTATTCCACCCATGTTACCGGCACCGCCACTATCAATCGTGCCACCTTGAGGTGATTCTGCCTCTAGAATACGATAACCCTGCTGAGGAGTCGTCGTCGATGAGGGGGCTGTCATGGTCGCCGTCGTTGTTGGCTGACTACCTTCTTTTTTTCTCTCATAGTCAAAACTTGGATCCTCTAGACATCTTAAGCTCGTCCCTGCTACGGATTTTATTGATGGCTCCGATCTTTGTTCCTTAGATTCTTCTTCGATACCGCCTGTTTCCTATAATTGATAAAAATTTTTATTTTTCAATAAAAATGTTTTCTTTATTTCTCGAAATTAAAATTTTTTTGTTTTAATTTTAAAATCGGTTATTTTAAGTTGAACAATACTTTTTTTCCATGAAAGAACAACTCTTACATCGTCAATATGTGTGGGAGTGCCGCCAGTTTGAATATTTGAGGGCAACGGACTATCCCTTTCGGAGTCCATGTCCTTGTGTCCGTTCAAACCGCTAAAGCTACCTATAGAAACACTTTCACTTTCTGGAGATTTATATCCGGAATGTTGGGAATGTTGCGACTTGTGCTGTGCCGCTAATTCAGGTGGTGCAGATTGCGGAGCCGATGGAACCGACGAAGGTGCCCAGCTCTTTGCCTCGCTATGCGGACGCGTCAGAGGTTCTTGAAAATGTAATATAAATTGAATATCATGAATATGGAATTTTATTAATATATATTAATATTTATAGCGAATGAAATACATTGTGAATTTATTGTGAAAAAACTTTTTTCTCATAACAGATTTCAAGTTTGAAATATAACGTTAAAAGTATTAAACATTTTAAACAATCTTTGAGTATTTTTTACATCATATATATATATATATACGATTTGAGATAAGATTTCCTATAATTGTTAAATTTATACATTCAAATATTTCAGCTATATATAGCTTTGCACGCATATATTTGAAATATTGGATATATGGCATCTAATGATATACTTTAAAATTTTATTTTAAAATTCAGATAAAAAAGATATAAAAAAATAATATGATATCGTTACACGCTTTTGTAATTATATGTATAAGAAGAAAAATGTACATGTAGCTAGAAAACCTAAAGTGATTTTAAAGATTAAAACAAATATAAAAATTGATACGCAAAAATATTCATTTTAAAGCTATTTGTTAAACTATAAACAATTTAATTTTGCCATAGATGAAATAAAATAACTCAATGATTGAATAAGAAGCATTATTTCCATTACACTCAATATCTGTTTCGATTTATCTAATGTAAAATTAAAATATTTACAACTTAAAAAATAAACTTCAATTTTTATATATCAATTTTGAATTTATCTTTAGAATCACTTCTTAAATTTTTTATTTACTTCGTTCAAATAATTATATATAGTATAAAGTTTACATATAACATAATAAAATTAAAGTTAATTATCGGTTATATGTACAAGAAAAAGTTATTCAAAATATTCTTAGCAATATTTCGATCTCATTTAAATCAATAATTTTTTGACAAGTTGTTCAAATATATTTCTAATGACATGTGAGAAATAATAGTGAACTTTCAAATTTCGAATATAATCCATTCTTTTAACCAGACTTTAGATTTAAATTTCTCCACTTTTTTTAAATAACATAAATTGAATTAATCCAAAGAAATTATGTAAATTGAATTAATTTAAAAATCTTTAAAATTTACCCAATGTAAAATATATTAAATATGTTCAATTCCAAAAGATTATATTAATAATTATAATAAAATAATTCTAATAATCGAATATTGTTATTTTTAATAACTAATATATACATATAATTAAAATTAAAGTTATAGTATTCATTTATAATGCATTAAGATAAAGATTGGTTGATCAACGTTATCTATTCTTTCTTGTTTTTTTTAAAAAATACGTAATATATCTAATATTTTTTATCTATTTTAAAAAAATTTTTTAAAATTTCATATTCTCATTATTAAACAGATTAAAAGGTTCGCTGTACATGTTAAATATAGTATGAAAATTCTACAGCGTTCACCAATGAGTAGCATTGAATTTTGTATTTTTCTTTCTCGAAAGAAAAAGAAACGAACAAATGTTAACCCTTTGCACTCGTATGTCACCATATAGTCGCCATCCTACATTTTATTATTATACATATATTTATATTAGTAAATATAATTACGTTATATGTATAATATAATTATATTCTTGTTACTTGATTGATAACTTTCTTAAATACGAGTGCAAAGGGTTCAAATACTAGTTACCTTCTCTAACGTTTTGCGTGACAGTGAATGTTTTCCCGGTGTCTAATGGAACCGTCCAGTTGACCGGCTCCGGTGAGCGCATGATCATCTGTTCCGGCGACTTTACCCTTGTCGGTTCTGGTGGACTTTTCACTACCGGTTCGTCGTCGATCCACGGGCTTGCGGCGGTGGCTGAAACTGGTGCCTGAGACTGGGACGGTGGTGTCGACGCGACACTCGACTCTCCACCTGTCACGTCCCCGTTTACTTGTGGCTCTGCCGTCACTGCAATGTTTCATTGACACTTTTAACGATTTTGTATACATCCATCCTGTTGCTCGTGCTCGAGCGGGATTGCACTCGATGTTTCGAATTTTTTATATACATATATATGTGTATGTATCTTTTCTCTTTTTTTGTTTTATTTAAATTTCGGGATACTTTCTATCCTAACTTTCTATCGAGATGCTCCATACTCTATACTTTATCGAAACTCTCATATTTACTTGTATTCAAAAAGGATTTTTATGTCGTTCTTACCGTTGGTGGTTAACGATATTTAAATAATAGGAGCGGAGAGAAACATTGATCGAGTCATCGAGCGCTGAAAATCGATTGTGATTCGCGATTACAGGAGAGATCTACGAAATGGGAACATTTCAGTAAAAAGTACACTAGCGTACTCAGGATGCAGGAAAAAACATATATGTATTTGTACCAATATACAGATACATACATAGATAGTTAAACAGAAAGAGATAGTTAAACAGAAGAGAGAGAGAGAGAGAGAGAGAGAGAGAGAGAGAGAGAGAGATGGTGAAGAAGAAGAATATAGGTTAGGTGTG